TATGTAAAATAGAAACACACCAGTTAGCAGAGACCAAAACTCTGACCTGCACCCAGTGGAGGCCAACACAGTGTGGATTTTAGAGAGACTCTTGGAATAAAAAAATAACACAGGTCGCAAAGAAAAAGCACATGTTTATAGGTAAAAGTCCTGCAGTCAAACTCACACTTACATAAGTAAAAGATTTATATTTATCATAAATTAAGTTGTAAGAGGTTATTGATTTGTAAGCAGTATTAATACTGCGTTATGTGGTTGAGTTCCATCAAATACAGTTCAGCAGTTTAAAGCTTGCAAACCACCGGGGTCACCACCTCTGTGTAACCTCAGAGTTTGTGACATGAAAGCCTGCACACTGAAAACATGAGAAGAGGTCAAGATTAGATACTGCTGACTCTTTAACTAGAACATACTCAGAGGTTTCAGGTGCTTGTAACTGTTGTATTTCATGAGCTTATAACATGATTTAAATTCCAGAAAAGTCAATAAAGCTGTCAAATATAAAAACCAAAGCAAAAAAGAAAAGATTTTATTTCTAAAATATTGGGATAGACAGACCAGAGAAAAACACAGTGATGAAAAACATATACACTTAGTAACTTTGGGTAAGGTTAGACAATAAATGCTGCAATGTGATGAGAAAGCAGTCAGAGCAGAGTAAAGGTGTCCAATATTCAGAGATTCTCATATTTTATCTCAGAAAAGCAGCAAAGTATCCAGTTTAACCAGATTACAGAGGCTGTTTTCAGCATTATAACATGATGACGATGAACTAGAGCTTTAATTATGTAGAGAAAACGAGCAGGTTTTTAAGATGAATTCAGAGAATGTGAAATGTCAAAGAACAAATGAACAAAGTCAGTGATCTCATTTAGCTTCCAGCAACATCACATCTTTTAAATTTGAGATTTTCCTCTTTATCTTTTAATTTGCCTGCATATGTAAACTTACAGCTTCTGTCATTCTTTAATTTATCCTGTCTTTAAAGTGGGAAGAAGTATATTGTTTTCACACCAGAACAAAGGAATCCACCTAAAATCAGACAGAGTTCTGATGCATTTCCTGTTTTTATTTTGAGAGGTTATAAAAACACAACACACCTCAGGATTCACACAGCATCACCCTCACACAGATACATGCTGGTGTGTGTTGTCACTGTGACACACCCAGCTGATGCTCTTCTGTGACTTACAAACAACAAATGACATGAGTTGAAGCTCCAGCGGAAAGCCTGAGCAAATCTGATCATTCACGGTGTTAGAGCGCCGCCACTGGACTCAAACAGCACTCCATCTGTGCTGTTCTGAGAAACCACGTGATGACTCTGTTAGGTTTCGTTTTTGTGTTTATGAAGCTGGATCTGGTTTGT